AAGATTTACTGTAACTGTATTATTTATATTTAATAGTATTTTCGACTTTTTTTTTTCACGTTTTGACGGCACCGTTTTGGCAAATTGTAAAATGCCTAAGAATAATCAGTCACAACATGATATATATTCTTGTGTTCTTGTTTCGCCGGCATTATCAGTTTGCCTGAAATGGTGCCGGCATAACGAAAAAAGCATTTTCTGCTTGCGTTTTGCCGGCTTTTTGTAAAATGCCTAGGCAAATTATAAAAAGCCCAAATTTGCATTATGTTTACGACATATATACACCTAGCTTAGTACATGCTGGTAAAATGCATCATCTGTGGGTAGAAGTTCAGAAGCGGATTTATTGGAAGTTGTGATCAATTGATATCTTAATTTATCGAGGGTTTTTAGGGCCTCATTCTTATTTCTGAATAGGGCCAATGCAAATTTGGTGGCAATATTAGGTTTCAAGATTTTTAAAAAATACATTTTTTGCCTTTGCATTTGTGGTATCGCATCCTGTTGACACATGCAGATTTGGTAAACATTTATAAACTTCATATTCCAGTTTCTGCACTATTTATTGGAATGATCCGTTTTTTATTCCCTTGTCCTAATCTTTCAAAGAACTTACTTCAATAAATTCAGAATAGTGGTAAATAAGTAATACCAGAACATTTGCATCTGCAGACTTCACCAACACTTTTTTTTGGTGAAGTATCTGATATTCATATAAGACGTGGATTATAAAAATTCGTGCATCAGTATCATCATGATTCGATTTCAAATCTTTCAATTCGGTTACACGGTTACACCATCCTTGTTGACTGAAAAGCATAACTCTGGATTTTCAAAATCACCAGCGATGATCAGAGTTTCTTCTATTTGTCAGCCAAATGTTCCAAAATATAACCAGTTACAAATTTCAATAGGGATTCTTCATTTTCTGACCATTTTAAAAAATTCCGAAACTTCATCACATCTTTTCAGAAACTTCATACGAATACGTATCTGCGAAGGTACTTCTTCTGCGTCTGTCCAAAGACTTGACCGATTCATCTATTAAAAACCACCGTTATCCTCAGTGCTTTATACCTTCGACCAAGTGAAAGAATTTGCTTCAGAAAAATACATGCGAGTTCATTAAAAGTTAAGTTGAAAATGCTTTATCATTTAGTCCTTGAATAAGTACCATGCCATCTATTATAAGTGAATTGAAGGGGGTGTGACCCAATAATGTAGTTTCAGTGCGAAAAAATCTAAGAACAAATATTTGAACCGCATCTTGCTACGATAAACCATTTTCGAGTATAAGGGTGGTTCAAAGTGACAAACGCCTAGGCTGTGACGTCACACTGGCTTCGGAGGCACAGTTAAAATATGTGTAAAATTTTCCAAGACAAAAGTCAGCGATCTCACTTAAAGCAAATTGCAACCACTTAAAGTATAGGGCACGGTTCAACCACTGAACAAACAGAAGGCTATGATTTTGTCGGTTAGCCGGTGTGACGTCACAAGTTCCCGCAAAATTTATTTTCATGAATAATTTTCTCGGATAGATGGTTGAATGAAAGACTGCGGATTCCACGGGAGATCTTAGATTTTTTTTCTTGATTTAAGTAGCTTAAGTTGCTTTTTTTAGTCACACCCTTGTTTAAAATCAGTTCGAAGAGAAGCAACTGTTGAATATGGTTCAAACTTTGATAATAAATCAGACTTAGCTGTTTTTCGCATACGAACGCACAAAACTGGAAAAGTCAGAAAATGCACCTCTCGGTGAATGCACGAATAATTCCGTCGCGACGTGGTTCATGATGGGCTGAGCGCGCTCCAGGGCTCTTGGATAAAAATTTATATTTCTATAACCGTTAAAGTTAGCACCTTAATTTTTTTTTTTTAAACTTCGTCAATGTTTTTACTACATTTGATTCGATATAAGGTACCTGACCCAAATAAGGCCATGTACCTTATAAGGCCAGTGCCGCTTATTGCTTAATATTGAATCCCATCTTCAAAAATTACAATATTTTTAAAAAAGATATCTATAATACAAATCAAAAATTATTGCAAGGATTCGTAGCAACTCGTTATATGTCGAAAAATGGCCAACCACATATTTCATATGTCACGTTATAACTTTGAGGCTGGAACTTAATTAGTTTATACACATGTTCATGAACGGAATGGAGCGAATTTAATTTTTACACGGACATTTATGTATTGAGAAAGCTACAGAGTAAGTACAGAATAATATCTTTTCTAGATTTCTAGTCACAGACTTTTTTTCATCAATGTAACATGTTCTTAATAAGGCCACATGAAAAATTTTCAATTGGCCTCACATCACAGTGGTTTTTTAAAAGAATGTATCATATTATAACTTAAGTGATGTGTTTTAGAGCGCCTGGAGTCTAACCAAGCAAGAAAAGCTGCGGTTCAGTTGTCCTAGTTGTATGTAGACCTATTTGGATCCCCATCCCAGGACTTGAAAAATTATTTTTTTTTAGAATGCAGCAAACGTTAAAGTTCTATTTTGAGAACTTTTCGTCAAAAAATAATATTTTCATAAATTATTCTATTTATTTTAAATTTTTTTTATTGATGGCCTTATTAGGAGCATAGTGGTACAAATAAGGCTAATGGTAAGGGTCTTTGTTTTACGCAAAAACCACCACTTATATGTAAAAATAAATAAATTGGGGTTAATATTCAAGTAATACAAGCGAAACACTTCACATATAAGCTCGTGATTTTTGTCGGGTTTGGTGGATAGTGTTCAGAAAAAATAAAACTTCTTAATATGGCCTTATTTGGGACAGGTACCTTATATGTATAGAAATTTTCAATAATACACATTGCTCGCCGCAGGGTGAAGTTTAAGATGCACGATTTTGATAATTCTATATTCCTAACTTTTTAACAAAAAAACCTTGAGCCTTTTCGAAATTTCTGAACTGTCATTAGGAGCGCTCATGTTTCAAGTATAAGTGTGCAAAAAATCAGAATTTTAGATTGTATGCTTAAATTAATACAGCGGGTAATGTTTAGAAAAACATAGTTTTTCAAATTCGAGCTCAGTCACGTTTAAGGGCCGATTTCAAAGTTCAGTCCTACTAAAAAAAGTTGTTCATTCCCATTTCCTAGGCTCCAAAGTGTCCTCTACAAGATGATATAGGTTTCATCTGGTTATACCTCGGAATCACCCACCCTCAGAAAACGGCGAATTAGAGCAGTGATTTTATTTCACTACTATAAAAATCACTATTCAAATGTTTCGCTCACGCTCCATAAACCAATATTTTAATCAATTCGTTCATTATGCACAATCACCGCGACGTCCCTAATTAAAATTGATGGTCTGATGGAACACCTATATGAAGGCGTTTATCTTATGAAATTCTAATTAGTCGGGTGTGTAAATTAGGTATTCTCGTTAGGCATTAGAATCAGAATAGAAATATCATATCATTTTTGCTTGTCTAAAAACTCGAGTAAAAACTTGAAAATTACAATAATTTGTTATATTCAGACAATCAGCAATAGAGCAAATATAAGAACCAAACGCCTCTTTTCGTTTTGTAATAGTGTTGTAACCCCACATTACCTAGTTCTTTATGTACATTAATAATAGGTTATTTAGGTTACGCTTTCTATTCTATATGTTACAATTACAATTTTCCTTCTTCTATTGTTCTTATCATTATAACCATTGTTTATAACCAACTACAGAATTATTCCTTCACTAAATTATAGTATTGTAAAACCCCAATTTAACAGACGCCAACCGTCAGACGTCGGAGAACGTGACAGATGCGTATCGTTCTTGTCGGGGATAACAATTATTATCCGACCCTATTACTTTATTATTTTATTGTTGTTGACCGTTCCATCAAAGAAACCGGGGAAATTGTCCCATAAAACCCTTAAAATAAAAATACCCTTATTTATTATTGTTGAAAGCTTATTTAGTCTATATATGGATGTTTTATAGGAGTTAACTGCTTTTGTACCATCATTAAAGTTCCCAATGGGTTTTTCCTAAAACCTTAAACAGCCCATTTTTGTAGGGTGAATAAGGAAACGGCCAGAAGGAACAGTCAGTAACCTCCTAGCTCAGTTACGAGCAAGTTGAAATATTTTTACTTCAGAATAAAGAATAAATAATTGAAGGAAAGTCTTGAAGTGTTTCTTTTCAAACCATACCACATCGGCGGTAACGTGGTTATGAAAACCACAATAATAGTCAGTGAGCCTTAAAAATGGTGCAATTTCATGAATCATAGAAGAAACCTATAAGAAATAGGATGATTTCCAAATTGCTTGACTAGTGGTCTACTATACATTTGAAGCCTTCTAAAGAAAAAACTTCTATATTTAGTTTGTATTTGTAAATGTAAAAAGAATACATAGTTAAGTATACCTATTTGGCTCTCCAGTCAATTCTCCCAGTGACCATTGATATCATAATCTTCAAAATTAAATTGGTAACTTTTCTTATAAAAATTGCCATCTGAATAGACTGCAACTGACACTTACTTAACACACAACCATCATACGCCCATAAAAAAAATTTCGAAGAAACATCATCGAGGGGACACAACAGCATACCCTCATCTACATAAACAATGATTCTTTTGACACCGTATATATTATCATCTATTTTAATTTTAGTACCCACTCGTTCGCTATCGAAGTAACGCGCTCCGATTCGATTAATCAATTTATTTTTGAACTAATGATACGTCATCATTATATGTCTTGAAAAATATTATTATTGATAATGATAAAGCGTGGATTTCGTGGCGTCCGATCGAAATATCGAGTGCTCAGTTTAATGCGTGCAGCGCTCGTGTACGGATTTTAATCTTCCATTTTGGCACTATACTGTTATGTTTTTTAATAAGTTGTGCGATGCTGCAGATGGTGAAGACAATGGAAATAATTTGAGTTTGAATAATAATAATGATGGTATTTAACATCTAATAAAGTTGTCGTAATATATCACTTATTTGTTTCAGGTAATGAGAGTCCCTCGTCTTTTGTTGGTAACGCACCGTTTTCCGACACAGAACCTGAATTACCCAATGAAATATCGGCTCCTTATGAAGTACCACAGTTTCCCATTGAACAAATCGAGAAGAAGTTACAGATACAAAGACAATTGAACACAAAGTAAGTGAAACATTCTTAGACAATATAAAATAGCGTCAAAATATCTATACCTAAGCCTAAGACAATAGTAAACAATTATAGATAATTTTCTCGGGAGCGGCTCTTTTAATAGTTGAAATTGACGAAGGTAAGCTTGGATATCTCGGCTTCTTGTTCAAATTTTTATTTCATTTCTTCTGCGACAAATAAAATCGTTAATATGATGCATTTTTTGAGATTTTTAGTCGTTTTGGTCGCAATAACCAAAAATAACTCAAATTTCAAATGAACGCCCTGTATATTTTTTACTATACCTACCTATTGCCTATATTTGTCATTCTAAATTTTCTGATAGGTAGGTAGCTTCAAAATGATTTTTTCTATTTTGGTGTCATATCGAAGTCTTTTCGACACTAAAAGTAGTTTCGAAAAGAAGCTCTTTGTGAAACTCCTTTTTTACTTATCGGAGGTTGGTAACACTGGCTGACTGATGGCCATCGAACTGTCATTCGCGATTTTATAAATAGAAGATTTCTATATTTGGCATGTAGTGTTACCAACCTAAACATATGAAATCAGGAAATATGAGAATAAAATTTCTAAGAAATATTTGTTTTTTTTTTAATTAAACAATACCAAAATAGAAAAAATAGTATAAAATATTCGTTTCATAAGACATTTTATCGCACTCGCCCTTTAGAAAACTCGCCTCCGGCTCGTTTTCTAATATAGTGCGATAAAATGACGTCTTATGAAACTTGTATTTTAATGTACTATTATGATACAATTGGAGATATGATTTTTCAGTTTTGAGAAATTTATGTACCTACAAATTGAAATTTCACCTTTTTTTATGTTGATATTTTGCCTTTAAATTATCTTTTGGGATCCAGAGCCGCGTGGCCAGGTCGCGCGACCAATAAATAGTTGGTTGCATTCCTAGTTTTTATCATTCATGAATAATAATATTCCTGATACCTATTCTTTCGATCTGAACAAACTGATTGTGATCACATAAGGTTTGTTCATGAGGCGTCAGCTGGGCCAATGAAATCGTTGAAAAACCGGATAAAAATTGTTTGAAACAAACCTCAAGTGACTTCGATCAGTTTGTTCAGATCGAAAGAATACGCCTAATTTTGTTCAACCACCACTATCATCATCATATAGGCATGCTAACGACAGCATCATTATCTGTAGGTTTTTTGATGGATATAAACATGTAAACTGAATTTAACAGAAAATCACCAGAAAATAGATACGTGTCGTGCTATTATTCAGAGAGTCTGGCATGCGGATGACATGACCAGCACAGCGAAGCAATGTTGGATAAGTATTTCTGGTCCTGAGTATTTTTCTTCCTTCTTCAGCAGCGCTGGTGCTCATTTCCTAAACACCTCAAGTGCTGTCTGTAGGTTGTCCAGGTTGAGCATCCGTAGAGAAGTCTTGGGATATGTCCAAAAGCTATGCTAGCTCACTTTAGTCAATAGAGAGTTATTGGACGTGCAAGCAGTATTTAAATTACACTTATTTTGACATCTACGCATGCGCATTTGGGTCCGAAAATAAGGATTCCCTTAAAATGGTTACTGCTTGTTTTTATTTGTGTATGGTTAGTGCAAGGCAGTAAACTTCACTTATTTCAAATTTCTGACATTTTGGACGACTTTGACGTCTCGCTTTTCGACGACGACGTAATTTTAATTAGAAAATTTATTTTTCTACTACCGTACGTAAAGTAGCTACTCGCTTTACGCACTATTCAGAAGACGTAAAATTTCACTTTACGCACTAGTGCGTAAAGTACCCACATAACAGTGAAAGAACATTCATATTCTCAGAATATTCCCTCAAAGTGCTTTTTCGAATGTTCCTTTAGGAATGTTTAATGAATATTCTAAGATTGTTTCGATTGAAATATTCATTTTAGGACGCTCTTATTTATGTACTAGGAATGTTGTTTCTATGCACCTACTTGAAAGATTGTACTAAGAACCTACTTTATATAACATTTTTTGAATATTGTCATACGAACATTATTAGAATATCCCCTAAAAAATGTTCTTTCGGCTAATATCTTTATCAAGTATTAAGAATATACCTACCAAGTTGTGCTAAGAAGTTTATGTAGGTAGATAACCATGATAAGAATATTTTCATATTGTTCACCTAATTATCTAAAGTACCTACTCAAAAATCTTAATTGAACAATTAAACAATAATGCTCTATCTAGAACCTACTAAAAATATTATAGGCATATTCTTTTTCGTTTGATTTGTAGGACTTTCAAGAGGGGGAGCCACGCGCTATTGTAAATCTACATTTTGCCTAGCGTTTGAATCTCCTTGCAAACTGTTTCTCTCAGTTGGCGTGCTTACCGCGACGAGAGCACAACAAGTTCGAAACCGGAGCTTTGGTTAAACACTTGTGTTTTCCAGAGAAGTTTTCCAACAACTTTTGCACTTCCTTTAATATAAAAGGACTGAAAGGACCGAAAGGGGCATTATTTGGATGCGAAAATTAGCATTCCAAGTATATCTTTAGAATCAAACAAGAATATTATGTCTAGGATGCATATTGAGAATGATATATGTAGATATATTCTAAGAATATTCAAGCATATTGGTATAATATTCTTTTGAGAATATAACTATAATGTCATAGAAACATTCTTTCAAGCATATTTTAAGAATCAAACAGGAATATTCTTTTCAGGATGTACTGAGAATCTCATAGGTATATTCTAGGAATATCCTAATGGATTTCCCACGAAGTTCTTAGGTATTGCAAACAGTATTTCTACTTTTCTCAGAACATTCTCAGGACATTCGCAATGGTTTTGGCGAACATTCTAGGCACATTCCTCCTAAAAAAATAACATTCTTATTACATTCTAAGGATGCGATATTGTTATGTGGGTAATTCACTTCACACACTAGTGCGTAATGTAATGTCAATGACAGATGTCAAGACTGTCAATTTAGTATTTTTCTGGTAAATTACTTCACGCACTAGTGCGTAAAGTATCTGTCTAAAACTATTTTTTCAAACATATTTGATTGGTAGTAGAAAAAAATTTGTATGCAATACGTGCGTAAAGCACGTTTTTTCACTCTTGTGATTGTCGCACTCGCCTTCGGCTCGTGCGTCAAAATTCACATTCGTGAAAAAAGGTTCACTTTACACACTTGTTGCATAAATAACTATTTTTACAATAGTTTTAAATTGTACTGTGGGTAATATCAAAAAATGGGTATGTATCAGCAGAAAATCACAAACAAAAATAAGCACTTTTTGAGGCTGAAATTTATAAACATAGTTATCAGCTGTCAAAATTATGAATACAAAATAAGGTAATACTCTAGCACCTACTACAGTTTTCCAATAACTGTTTTTTCTTGGAAAAATAGTGCTGATGCATTAATAAAATAACGTAGATCTTTAATACTGCGAAGTAGTATTTAATGGGTCCAATAACTCTCTAATGTTGAATTTCCGCGACGACATTTATGGAAAGATGACTATAACATAACCAAGCTATGGAAAGTACTCTACAATATATGCTGCTCCATTGATAATTACACCTGGATGAAGCGATTTCAGCACAACAATAAAAAAATAATATCATGATGCCATTTGAATTTTTCAAGAAAATTAGAAAAAGTTGTATCTTGGTTAAACAGCGCCCTCTAGAAGACGTGATGGGAACTATCGACCCCGAACGAAGTAGTGTTCTTAATAACAATGAAATTCTCTTTCAAATCATCGGCTCTGCCGCTTGTTTGCTCCAAGAATGATAATGATAAATAAGCCCAAATTGAATGAGTTTGGATGAGGGGTATGGAAGATACAGCAATTTTTAAAACTAAGAAACAAACTGGCGCAAAAATTAATCAACTTTTGATTTCTGTCAGTGGCGTAGCCAAACCAAACGAGGCTGTCGGCGACATCCATATTGCGAGGCCCTTTTTATGTAGGGGGCAGTGGCGGATCCACGAGGGGGGAGGGGGGTATTGGAGGAAATTACACCCCCCGTGGTACCCGAAACAATTTCTGCTTCCGGCTACAACTACGGTGGGCATCGCCTACTGGGTCCTACTTTGGGTGTGAACCCCTTCAGGTTGTTGGGAATCGGGAGTTGACCGATTCCACGAATGTTGAGTACCTGGAGTTTTCCGCGCGCTCCAATCTCGTACTTCGATAATTAAAACTCGGTATTGTATAAAAAAAATTCATTTATTAAAATTCTCGTTGAGGGGGGACACTCAGTTAAGAATGTTGAGAGGCAACCCGACTGTTCAGAGTGATGCTCGAAATCTGAATACCTTGTCTTCAACTATCCTCCACCAAGGAAGGCAAGTTTGGACCTCCCTAAAGAAGCGTATTTTACAATTTCCTAAAATTAACTTATCCTAACAACATATTTTATTTAGATGTTAAAATGTTACGAAACGTTTGTACAATCATAAACCTAAAATTAGCCTAGGAGTTGTAATTCTCGCAATCTGTATTATAAAAAAAGGTCTGGGAAGGTAGTATGTCTTTGGCGGTAAGAGTACTTCCCATGGGCTGTATTTGACTTAGTTTTTTGTATTTTCAACAATTGGGGTTTCTGCAATAGAAGTACCGACTTTTGAAAATGGGTGTGAACAGGACATTGGTTATATAATAATTCTAGCTCGCATCGTCTTTAAACCCTAACAGCTTAAAGTATTGTTATAATAAAACTTGGGACTCAATTACACAGATGGTGGAACTTGTAGAAGAGAAAATGTAGCGAACATTAGGATTATTGATAACATAAGTAAGAATAAATTCACTATATAGTTCACAAGTCACAAGGTATAGACCACGAGCCGCCGCTGGTTGAGAAGCTCTACCCCCCCCCCCCCCAGAATGGTTGGTGCCATAGATCCGCCACTGCAGGGTGGCCATATCTCTTGTGAAAAAGCTGGATATAACGTCAGGGACTTGTAGTCGCCGGCAAGCCCTCCTGAATTTTTTGAGGCCTATCAACGGTATTCGATAACAATATTTAGTCAAAAATATCAATATTTTTCCGCTAACAAAGCCTTCCAACAAAAAATAAAGGACCTCGCACATTTCTTATGGAAAATGGCTTTCGGCTAAATTTTCTGAAAATTTCAGATAATGTCGATGTCCTGATTAAAAGTTCTCGTGGGCACAACTCAATCCTATGATCAGTTTTTGAGTTATGGGTTATCAAAATTGGCTTTTTTAGACTTCAAGATATTGATTTTTTTTCAACATATTTGTTTATATTTCCTCCATTAGCACATTTAAATTAAAAGTTTCTACTCTAAGTTTTAGGTGTTTTAATGACTTCTTAAAATGTAGTATAAAAGTTCCTACAGCGTCTTACACAAAATGGTGGCGGCAAAGAAATGTCAATTTAGAAAAAGTCGAAAATAACTAAATTCGATCAATTGTGTAGAATACAAAAACGAACGGCTAGATTTTGCCCTATTTTCAATATGTTGTTATCAAAAGTATACTTAAGAATACCTACTATAGTTTTGGATCCAGAATGTTATACCAGGTGTTCATTTTGTACCATGGCCCTGGTGTAGATGGTAAATGCCGACTGCAAGCGGGTTTCTAGTTCAAATGCTGTTTCAATGGGCATTATTCATTGTTTTAAGTTCACCGTAGGAATGGAGTTCACTAAAATTGATAATATTGACTAAGCGTACAAAACATAGAATAGTCTCACCTTTTTTAAAACTGTACAAATAACCATTTTCAAATATAGCGTAAGAAAAGAGTGCCATCAAACTTATGCCTATACTTAAAACTAAGAATCTCCATTGCATAACTTTAGACAATGAATTGATGCTACTATGAGGTAAAACGTTGAAAAATGTTAATAATTGCTGGATGTAGAGGAGACAAGCTAAAAATTATACTCTACCGATTACCGGCATCCAAGACTATATCTAGTAAGGCAGTAGATGGATAGCGAATTTGTTCTTGGTGCCTTGAGTATCCTATATACCAAATAAAAGAGGCTACATGAGCACAGCAACCCAATGTCCTGGCACCAGATCGGCAGGTGCAATAATAGCCTGTAATAGGATCTTGATCTTGATGATTAAATGCTATCCATAACTGGTAACGAGTTGCATTTCTATGCCGAGAATAAATTCGTAAATGAACCAGTTGTGGGTCGTCAATTAGTATATTAATTTGAAATTCATTGCGTTCTCCTTGTCTTTGCAGTGTGTCTTGAATATAGGAAGGCGCCAGATTTATTTGATATGTACCAATGGTTAGATTTCTTAAATACTCTATCGTTGTACAGTTTTAAAAAAGGTGAGACTATTCTATGTTTTGTACGCTTAGTCAATATTATCAATTTTAGTGAACTCCATTCCTACGGTGAACTTAAAACAATGAATAATGCCCATTGAAACAGCATTTGAACTAGAAACCCGCTTGCAGTCGGCATTTACCATCTACACCAGGGCCATGGTACAAAATGAACACCTGGTATAACATTCTGGATCCAAAACTATAGTAGGTATTCTTAAGTATACTTTTGATAACAACATATTGAAAATAGGGCAAAATCTAGCCGTTCGTTTTTGTATTCTACACAATTGATCGAATTTAGTTATTTGCGACTTTTTCTAAATTGACATTTCTTTGCCGCCACCATTTTGTGTAAGACGCTGTAGGAACTTTTATACCACATTTTAAGAAGTCACCAAAACACCTAAAACTTAGAGTAGAAACTTTTAATTTAAATGTGCTAATGGAGGAAATATAAACAAATATGTTGAAAAAAAATCAATATCTCGAAGTCTAAAAAAGCCAATTTTGATAACCCATAACTCAAAAACTGATCATAGGATTGAGTTGTGCCCATGAGAACTTTTAATCAGGACATCGAGAACTACATTATCTCAAATTTTCAGAAAATTTAGCCGAAAGTCATTTTCCATAAGAAATGTACGAGGTCCTTTCTCATTTATCACAGTATTACACAAACATGGATCGACAATTTTTTGGTAGAAATCAGGCAATTTTTTAGGTAACCTAAATAATTTCCGAATCTCTGTATGTTAGCAGGTTTGCTAAACGAAATCACATGCTGGACAAACTTTCAAATTACTGTAGAATGTACAATACAGCGAAATACTGCACGAATTTTATGATATCAAAAGAAGTTTCATATAGGATTAAGCTTATTTTATGTTTCATTTTGTGAAATTGAAAAGTGCCAATTTTCAGGTTCGGTAACCTATTTTTTGCGAGGCCCCTTAGGGCGCGAGGCCGTCGGCGGTCGCCGACATCGCCGACGCCTAGCTACGCCACTGGGAAGAAACGTCACTCGGATGGTTTTGAATGGGTTTTTGAGGGACTTTATTATTTATCATTATCTAAATTCGAATCTCTCTTCAAGAGTTTCTGAAAATTCTCCTTCCATCGGAACTTAATAGAAACGGGATCTTTGAATAACTGTGTCCCTAGATCTAAGGGGATTTGTATCTTTTGTAGGGACCATAGGTTGCTTTTGACGCGTTGTTGTTCCAACGTTCCAATTCATTTGATTTCGTGGTCCTTCACTAGTCTTTTAGCATTCTTGCCCCCTCTGTCCTTCAGCCTTTGCACGAATATAGGTTTGTTTCTTCCTCAGACGTTCTAAATTTCTTTATTGTTCTCATCAAACCAATTCTGATGTCTCCTATTGGAGAATCTTTTTGATTCTTCGTAGGCTGATGTCAGCATAGTTGTTTTAAGTATTGATCAAGATCGTCAGGATAATTTGCAGACGGTTCCTCATTCGGTAGGAACTAGAAGTTTGTATTGGTGTCTCTATCTATCATTCATTCAATATTTAACCTGAATTGTGGTCGTTTCTTTTGTTTCCATCGTTTTGGTGGTACTTATTTGTAGAATCATAACAGATGAGAGCATTCGGTAATCAGTCCAGGGAGTCATCATTATGGGTTATAACTCTGGTTATTTTCACGTGAATGAGATGCTATTGCTTTGATCTTGGATGTTGTCACGTTGTTTGCAGCTTATTATTTTGAGGAAAGAGTACCTATTTGTGATGACAAAGTAGTGCTTTGAGCATATTTTTCATTTTAATTACTTTTGCCTGTACCCTCGATGCCAATGGTGCTATCCCAGAAGGCTTAGTCTCTACCGACTCGGGCATTGAAGTTATCCAACAAAATAATTCTATCTGATCAAGGGATTTTTTGGTTGTTTACTATCTTGAGAAGGCATCATGATACTTTTACTTATGCTTGAAGTGAGTTTATCAAGTATTTCAAAATAAACTACATATAAATTGCAAACATTTTTTTACAAACAATTCCTATTACGATAATGTTAAGTTGCTTTTTTTATTTGCCATTTGCCAATTTTCCATTGGACGCCGAGCAGCATCTAATACTCTAGTTTATAATGACGTAGGAGGATAATGTAGGTTATCTTTGTGTCATGCAAATCCCAAATAAAATACCACAATATACTTGGTACGTGTGCACAAGTTCTCAGAGTTCTTGGTCCAGATTTGCAGGTACAATAATACCCTGGAATTGGCTCAATAACCTGATTCATGCTAAAGGAAATAAATAGTTGATATTTGGTAGCATTACGTCAGCTCAAAAAAGTTCTGTTTATCATGGTGCATGATTGCGTCTTGTACAGAGCAAGAGGTACCTACTTGGTAAATACAAACAGTGAAGTGTCTCAGATAGTTTAGAGTAAGACGAGGAAAATCGGGTAAGTGGTTCGGATTTAACTGAACCCATCTACCGTGTCTAGTTCTTGGATTTTCTGCTTCTACTCGTGCCTGAACCACTTTAGCAGCTCGTGATCTCACTAATAGTTCTTCTGCAAGCTCTGCATTAGCACCTTCCCTCAGAACTTGCGAATAATATCTATTTAGAATAACCTCAGCTTTTCTGTGAAGTAAAGGTCGCCGAGATAAACGAGATGTGCCATTAAGATGATAGTATTCATGAAAAATTTAAAAGTGGATTTGAAATGTTTATTTCGTGCTTCATCGTTTGCTCTCAAATTCGCGATGTAACACATTTTTATAGAGTGACAAGAAATTGAAGTGTGTTGCACCTGATTGATATCTTTTAACTTACCAAAACTCGAAAATGGCTCGTTGGATTTTTTGTGCCAATGATAATTTCTGATTAGAATGTCCAGGAGCACAACATATCCAAGTTTAAGACAATTTCCATTAGGATTAATTCGGAGTCCTTTTATCTTCAATAGTATCTACTGACATTAAATGATCAGTTGAGACTACCCAAACTTCATACTGTAAATTATTGGAAGATTTGAAAAGGAAAAATGAAAAAATAATGAACTGTCCTCCTTTTCCATCACTAGCGAAATTGTATCTCTAGAACTAATGCTTCAGATGAGCTATAATAATGTTCAGGGTTTCTATCTAGTCCTTTTTTACTACAATAAACTCAGGAAATTCCAGATTCTACGATACACTTTTCAATTTCACCTTTCTTATGTACCGGGTGTCAAGTTATAAAGTACCACCCCCTGTAACTTTTTCATGTCTGTAACAATCGAAAATGAAAAAGTTACTGGGGGTGGTAGGTACTTAACTTGACACCTTGTACAACTAAATTTCTTGTAATATTTTTACATATTGATTTCTTTTGGAGATATTTTCGAAAGAGACAAAAAAAATTACTTAGATATGAATGCAATAATAATGAACGAACGTAGCAAACCGACTGTATATTAATTGGCTTAACTTTTTTAAGCCAATAAATGCTCGCCACCCTCGTGTGAGATTAGTTTAGTTCGTTGAGTAATCCAATGCCACGGTCAAACACGCGGTAGTAGAAACGCGTGTTTCTACATGAAAATCTTTATTTCCTGAAAGTTATGTTTGGTCTTGCTTCGGAATGGACGTTATTTAAGTCTTATCTGAGGTTGCTTAGTGTTAGATTTATTGACAAACTTATTAACGTATTGGTGGTCTTTAGGCTAGAAGATCGTCGTAGTCATTATGAACCCTCAGTGGCGGGCGCTGCGGAAGTTGACGACTTGGAGGATCATGAACTCTACGTGCCACACTTTCAAAGAGTTTCCATTTCTGGAGAGGATACTAGCGGGGTAAGAACTATAATAATCAACCTTATATTTCAAGTTGTTTGCTGAAAGGGGAACCAATAATGTTTTTCATCAAAAATCAGAAAAGTTGGACTTCTTCCTATACTAATGTTTTATCTGAGGTTCCACTTTTATGTCCATATAGGCAGTTCCTATTAACAACGGAGGCAAAAAGTACTTTTACTCTCTCTCCTGGGATCAGGTTTACACACAATAAGCTTCAAATTAGGGTTCTTGAAATCATTATTTTGTATGTCATTGAAAAAAAAGAGCATGTTTCATTCTTTTCACAAAAATATTACTTTTACTCCTAATGAAACAATATAGGTTGGGTAATATCTTCTAACCAAAAAAACCTTGTTCTGACACGAACCAATAATTGACATTATTGTCAATGTTTTTGATTTACTTTTATGAATTAGGTAGTTTTTCGGAAATCATCTCAATATGTTTTTCTATTCAACGAATACCCCAGACAACAAAATTATTTTGGATAAGAAACCCAGAAGAAAAGAGAGGTTCAAACAGACCATGACAATGGTCGGTAAACAATTATCACACGATTCAAACTCTTAAAAAAAAATATATACTTTTTTCTTGTATATCATTATGATTTTTCACATCCTAGGTCCCCTTGGAAGATCTCGAACGCGCCTCTACACTGCTCATCCAGGCACTGGAAATCAGGAAACGCTACATGAACATGTCGCATCAAAGCTTTTCATCTACGGTTGCCAGATTTTTAGATCCTGACAAGGAACAACAACAGCACGATGAAAAACAGACTATCGAAGGTATGCGATGTTTTAAAATTTATCCATATTAGAGCCAAAAGGTAGACAGAAAGAGTAATTTATAGTTTGATAAGATGTTTTTACCAATTATAATTTTACATCTTTGGCTAAAATTTGTGTTGGTATATGGCTATGTTAGGGGCTCATGAATTTATTAATTTAGAATAAGCATTTGTAAATATTCATTTACCACCGAACAGAAACAACGTTATTTGCATTTGTTAAAAGTAGCTTATTTAATCGTCTGCATTTTTTTCCAAAAAAATTTAAATAAATAAATCCTTATTGTAAAAAACTCATGAGATTTAGATATAATGAACAATACATGAGTAAAATCTGTGGATTAAAATAATTATTGTTTTCACTGTCGGAAGTCTGTATAATTTTGATTTAGGAAAACCAACATGATAAGTTTATTTCGATACGAAATTGCGATCAGCGTCCTAAGCAAACCACCAAGGTTATTTAAAAATATCCTGTGTTTTCAGAATTTTATTTACCGAAAAGATTTCTCCAATGGCATAAATATATACCCTCTGCGCATCAAATAAAGTGCATTATTTACGAAATTTGGTCGCTGATTATTAAAATATCAAAAATCAAAATATTTACAGGATATGCTCATAATAAGATTATGATTAAAGTCTTAGATATAAATTATTCCACTCTTGTACTGTTTCTCATGTATCTCCCATATTGCCTTCTCACCTCCACAAGATTCTTCATACTCAATACTCACGCAGTTTGGGTTAGTTTGTCTTCTTTATTTCTTCTTCTTTATTTGCACCATTGCTTTACCAAATGATTTTATGGAGGTTTGAGTCGCTGAGGAACATATGAAGGTGTTCTGAGACCCTGTGTAGTGTTCGAGGACAAAGTCTGATATTTATTTATTTAGCTTATTATTAAATAGTTGCCTTTGTACATGGTTTACAGTATGACTTATATGCTAATGATTCTTAAGAATAGGATTCTCATACAAGCGTTCCTAAAATGTATGGTTGAAATATTTACAAGTATGATTATTATGAATGGTAAGTTTAATGTCCTGACTTGTTTGGCCTCGTCAAGCTTCTTGGTAGGGGAGGTTGGGGGTGTCATAAAGTGGTTATTGGCACGCTGTCGAAATGAAGGGGTAGATGGCACTACCTGCCAGTCTTACTCTTGCAGTGGTCGTTGAAGAAGAGTTTTCTGTCCAGTTTAACTCCCAAGTATGTTAGGTCGTTGTTCGGGTTGATCTGGTTGTTGTTGATTGTGATGTGATGTGTGACAAAATTGAGATGTTATGTATTGATATTTTGGTAGCGTGAATAATTCTGTCAATCTGTCACATCTTAAAATTTCGTGGTAAATGCTGAAAAGTAAATTTGATCTGAAGCAGTAAATAACAGTTTTCTGAACCGGAGGCAATCTGAACGAAGTCTTCTTTCTTCTCTTCTTGGAGTGGTTATTGAAAGGTGTTAATAGAGACTCAAAATTAGTACCACTTACCACTTTTCAGCTGAAGCTGGAAACACCTTCTCTAACCGCACAAACCGGCACGTAAGATCTTTCTACACCACCAGTGTTTTAAAAGGAATTTTCAAAACCAGAAAAGAAAAGGCTAATTTTGGAAAGAAAAGTTAGCGTAAATTATTTAGTGATAAAAAAAAAGGTAAGGTAAAATATAAAAAAACTAAAATACCATATTCAATTAATAGACCATCAATAATTTTTAACTGAAAAAAAATTAAAGACAATTGAAAGAAAAGAGAATAATTTCCCAATTAAAAGATTTAGTTCAAAATCTCAGACTTTATTGGAAATTGAAATTTAAAAAAATAACTATCACCTCTTTGGAGAGCTTTCACTAAAACACCGAGCGGCAGATGAACTAGCGGATGAGGAACGCGTCGAGAACTCGTTGAGACTTTGCGACTTAATTTTCCGGCGATTACTCGTGGTAAAATCTAGTGGCGAATTGGCGGTAACTGAAGTTATCTGGCCTCTACATCTGCTTAAATAAGCGAAAGGATCCACCATCTGGGTACCACTTTAGAAGCCCATTGGCTCCTCTCAGTACCGGGCTTGCGAAAATCGAGGATCATCAACCCTCTTAGCTTTCAGCGTTTCGCTGAAAGTACCCTTTGGTTTCTTGCCGTGTCTCGTTAGTTTTCAAGTTTATTCAACCTTCCCCATCCAAAGTGCTCAACCCTGTGATCTAGTTTGATGGCTCTCCAACAGAGTTCGCTAGTTACGTGTTGTCAAATTATTAATTGAACATTTACTGTTTTCTCTTTTAATTGAAAATCTTTCCCTTTTCTAATTACCTAATTTAATGTATAAAATAAAGGTTCCCTAATTTCTAACCTAATTAAATGTATAAAATAAAAGCTCCCCAAATTCTAACCTTATTATCAAGGGTGTGAAATGATCTAAACTCTCTAATGAACTAAAATTTCTACTAATATAATAATAAAATAATTGAGTAATCACTCCTATCTTAATCTACCTATATCTTAATTATAACTAAGTATTTGACTTTAGTAATAACCCTTGATAATTATACAGGGTGTCCTTAGATAAACTGACACATTTTGCAGGTGAATATCTCGTAAACGGAAAAAGATAACGGGATGCGGTTTGTTCTGGAAGAATAAAGATTTTTTAAAGTTTTTTTTCATGGTATTGACGAATCCTGGAATTTGGTTTTACAGACATTCGATTTTTTCAAATAATTACATACTGCCTTATTCTTGATGAAACACCCGGTATATTTTATCATCGTCAGAAAACGTGACTTTTCTACTTCACAAAAATTTATAATTTTTTTCAATTATCGTGAAATTGAATTGTGAAAATTGCACTTTATAATGCGTGTAGCATCGACTGGCCAAAAAAAAAAAAATGATCATAATTAATTTGTGTTTTATATGCACTTATTTGTGTTTATTACTTGTATTTATTAGTTAACTATGCGCTAATTAGTTAATAAATTATTAAACACAAATTAATTCTCAATTTTCTTTTGGTTAGTCGATGGTATTCTCTTCGACAAAGTGCAATTTTCACGATGCAAGTTCAAGATAATTAAAAAAAATTAAACATTTTTGTGAAGTAGCAAAATCAGGCTTTCTGACGATGACAAAATATACAGGGTGTTTCATTAAAAATAAGGCAATCATTTTGTTTCGAAAAATTGCATGTCTGTAAAACCAAATTTCAGCAAATTTTAGGTTGCGGCAATTATGTGTTTTTTTTTTTTTTTTAAATTCTTATTCTCCCAGAACAAACCGCATCTCGTTATCTCTTACCGTTTTCGAGATATTTACCTGCAAAATGTGTCAGTTTATCTAAGGACACCCTGTATTATTAATATACAACTGGTTATTGCATCTTAAAAATCCAGCTCATCTAATTATTGCTTCGTCACACACATCCATATGCTTCGAATATAGTATATCATTCTTTGCAAAGCTATTGGTTACCTGACATCTGGGTTCGTTATAAAACGTGGATCAGAGATTATTCTTGACTTTGAATAAATTATTACAACCACATGGGATCTGGTTCAGTCGAGAGATTAGTTTAAAGTTTAGTGTTTATCTCGGAAAACATAAATTTTGCCTATATATTTGTCAATTTTGGGTTACAGCAATAATAATCTTGAAGCTATAAAATTCGATACTTTTTTCTGGCTTTCAAGTGCTTTTTACCCTCGAACAGATTAGGCCTTTCGCAGAACTCCATGTGTTTGTAAATTTCATCATAGGGTCACATTTTAGCTATCTATGAAAATAAAACCTTTCCCACGAATAATGAATTTGAACCGAGAATATAAATTTGTTATTGATTTTGTTACAGATTTACCTAGTTCTGGTCTGGCCGTCTTTTGTCGTTGAAGTGTATTGGGTTGGTCTTTGCATGATTTAGTTTGGGTTTCCACTTATAGCAGAAGGCGTCTATTGCCCTAACATGCTGTTCTACTTTCAGAGTCGAGATTCGGGTTTGTTTTGAGTTATGTCGTCAGCATACAGGGTGAGGTTGGTAGTCGGTTTCTTCAGTAGGTCGTTTATGTAGATATTGAAGAGGGTGGGGGATATGACACTGCCTTGGGGTAGGCCCTTTGTGATTATTTTTGTGTAGATTTCGCTTTTCTGATGTTTACGCTGAATCTTGTGCTTTTAAGGTAACTATCGCTGGATTAAATCCTAGGTTAATGATTTTGTAGCTGAGGGCTTTTCTCCAGACAGTATCATATGCCTTCTCCATATCTAGTTTGGCTAAGGTTGGGGTTTGTTTTTTGTTATTGGCATCCATGGCGTAGTCTATTAGTGTTGCTAGCTTTAATTTAGTTGTCCTGTTCTGTGTGAATTCGAATTGCTCGTCGATGATTATTTGGTTGTTTTCCAGGTGCTTGGTTTTCCTTTTGTTCAGAATCCGCTCCAGTACTTTCTCAAGGAAGTTCAGCAGCGAAATGGGTCTATAGTTTTCTGATTTGTTTTGGTCCTTGCCGCGCTTGGTGAGCATGATGGTTTTGGCTTCCTCCCAATCATTGGGGAAGTACTGGAGTTTTATACATGCATTGTAGATGTATGTTAGCTGTACAAAGGCTTTTCTTCGTAGGATCTTGCAATCTTTTGCAACAATGCAGTCGTTCCCTGCGGCCTTGTAAGGTTTTGATATAGAGATAAGTCTGGCGATCTCTCTATAGGGTTGGTTAGTATGTCGTTTGCATTATCCGGGGCTCTGTCGATAAAATTCCGGAAGGTGTAGAAGACCTGCCTTCTGGTGGCGTCCTTCTGTGAGTTCACTTGTTTTCGATTAGTTGACTTGCAAACGCCTCGGTTTTTCCTTGTGTGTCTGTGATTGTGTTTATTTGTCCCATTGCGTCGGTTACCCATAGTGGGGCAATGTTTTGTGGGCTATTTCTGTTCCTGTAGCCTTTTATATGTTTCCATATGTTGCCTTCATCGTGGGATGCTAGCATTCTCTTATTCCATTCCTCGTTTAGGTGAGACGACATTAGTGATTTAACCAGGGTGCATTGTTCCAGAGGTAATCAATTCGGTCAAAGTGGTCCCTGGTTCTCTGGGCTCTTGCGCTTAGCTAGTCCCGTTTTTGTTTTTCCCTTTGACCGTGTTTGGGGAACTTTTGTTTGTTATTGATTGCTACCTTGGGTATGTGTTGTTCCTCGTCCATCGTGATGATATTCACGAGGCTTCGGATTCTTGGTCCACTTCGTTTATCGTTACGATTCCGTTGTTAATCGTAATGCCCTGGTTAATTGTGTTTTTGTATGCAGTCCAGTCAGCCATCCTTGTACTCTACGAATGGTTTGGGGGGTGTTGTTTGTATTTGTTGGTCGATTTCGAACCAGACTGGAAAGTCATCGGATGTTGCTTCCAATAGGGTTCCGGCGGTTACGTCTAGGTTTCTGGTGATTGCAATGTCTATAGTGGAGTTTGCTTGTGGTCTGGTGGGTTGGTCTGGAGCTTTAATCTGTAGGTTTGTTAAGTCTGAGATGCAATTGAGTATGCTTCCAGCTGTATTGGCGCTGTGGTTATTCCAGTCGGGGTATTTGGTGTTTAAATCTCCGACTTAAATCACTTTAGGGTGGTTTGTGATATTTAGCGTTTCTTGGTGGTCAAGTCGGTCGCCATTTTTGTTGTAGGCCACCACTACTTTGATACCCTGGAAAGTCACTGCCATCGACTTAATGTTCGTCGTGTCCGATAGTATTACCTCGCATTCTATGTTAATACTTTGGAGGTATATGGGCTGTACCTGCGTTACGTTTTGGTTTGATCTGTTTTTGTAATAGACATCATAGGGCCAGGTCCTTTATTTCGTTTATCCGTCCCGTCAGTCCGTTTATGTTGATAAATAATATGGTAAGTCTCCTATTTTCCATAGCTTACAAGGATTTGAAGAATTTCTTGCTGGGGACAATTTTTTGTTCAAAGTCCTGACTTTATTTATTAGCACCTTGATGTTGAACTTGGAATTTAGTTCATCAATCTCTTTCATTAATGTTTAGAAGTCTCCAAAATCGTCTGATTTGTCGGTCTGGTTAGGCAGTGGTGGGAAATCCTGTCTCGTACGGGTCGCGGGTTTGTCCTGGTTATTTGTCTGGTTGTTGGTAGCTGGGCTGTACGATACGCCTTGTTTGATTTTGTTTGCTTGGAACCGCTTTGGCTGTGTACTGGCTATGTGTTCCTGAAATTTGGAGCAACCTCTGAAGTTTGCCGCGTGTTTCCATCGCAATTGGCACCTTACATTTTGATCTGGTCTTCGTTTACTCCACGCTTCCTAAGGCAGTCTATTGGTGAGTGGGAGCCTTCACATTTCAGACATATATTATTGATTGTTTACAGTTATTAGCGCCGTGGCCGAAGCCTTGGCATCTATAACATTGGGTTATGGATTTTCATCTGTGAACAATCGTTAATTTGGTAATTTTGGCTCAGGATTTGCTTTACCTTCTCGGTGTCCATATTGGGTGGACCTTTAAATACTAACCTTTTCCATCTCTTAGTTAGAGCAAACCACGTCTACTCTGCAAGTGCTCAACTCGGAATGGTCCAAAGTCTGAGTCGAAACGAAATGCCTTATTAATGTTGTGTGCGTCTCACAGTTCACGAAGTTTTTCTTCTCATAATTTTTAATTATGGCATCCTTTTGTTTCAACTGAAGTTGTAGGTCTGATATTTCTGCCTTCCATGCTTCGAGCTCCTTCAGAAAACTAAACTCCATTTCCGATGCGTCATCCAGTAAACTGTTCGGAGTTCGCTTCAAGTGGATAATATGGTTGTTTTTCTACTCCAACTCCGCCCGTAGATCTCGCACGAGTTATAAAAAAGATTTATTTTGAGATTCTTCCTCAATCTCTGCAAGTGACTGAGTAATGTACCTATGAAGTTTTTTTTCAGGGTTTCATAATGCTTTGTCCTTTTCAGGCAGATTAGATGGAAGACATTACTACAGACCACGCATATCTAGTTGCTATTCTATTTCTTGCAGCACTTAAAATTCTCTGTCATTGCGGACGTGCAGAATGTTTTACAAAATCTCTTGATTAGCGTTAAACCCTCAGCTATTGTGCTTAAAGAGAACAAACAAAATTGAATCAAACTAAATTCCTATTCCTAGTGACCCCCTGTAAAAGTTGGAAGTTTGGGATTTGCTGATAATTTTTTCCAATTTGTGGCCTGTGGTTATACTAGCGACAAAATAGTTTCTCGGTGTTGAAATATCTTCGACGGAAAGCATTCTTTTTAATTAAGGAAGGGCATCAACAATAATTTTGCGTCTTTGTGCGTTTTTCTCAATATTTGGCAGCTTCTGGCTGCTTCTGGCTGTTGAAATTTTAATTCAGTGTCATATTGATTGTTCTGTTCTGGTTTATTTGTTCTGGCGCTATGCGGTCTGGCAATCACATAGAAAACGGTACGGTAACGGTCAGACCTACGGACATCGCTCAAATAAAGGGCCTCTCGGTGGAAACGGGGACTGAGGACGTAATCACCTCGGTCATATGCTGACATCGTTGACATATGCAAAACGGTCCCTGCTCGGGCGCCAAATTTGTAGTGTCACTTTGGTTTTCCGGACGGTTAAGGGGTTTTCGGAAAACTCAGGCGCCACCCTTGGGATTATAGTGGTTAAGGGCCCACGTGCTCCAGGTAGCTTGTTACAGTTGAGACGGAAAACCAGAGGTCAATATACGCATCCCCAGAATGAAACACAAAATCCAACTAACAAATTAAAGTTTTCATTTGCCCAATAACAAGCAGATATAAGGAACAGTGAAAATGCAATTAAATAAGAGACGAAGAGCGAGGAGAGTGAACGAAGTCGGCGAAAATAACGTGTAAATACTATGTACGTGGCGGAGAATCGCGGTAATAGGATCGCGGAAAAATAACGGTATCGGTAAACAGCTTCAAGGGATTACTGTTGCTAGGCTGCTGTACTCCTACCACCTTCAGCTCGTATTCCAGGCGCATGCGCGAACTGAGTAGAGTGCAGGTTCGAAGAAAAGATAAGGACAGAATTAGAGGGGTGCGTCACTCGGTATCAGTTCAGTCGCAGACGTGTCCACTAATCCTCTACGGAGAGAATAGAGCCTCAACGCTATTCAATCCGCAGTCCAGAACATGACATAAGTATGGGAATGGAACCAAGAGAGATACTCGGTAATCGGTCCGGCAGACGCTCTCTTGGCTCGTCATGGAAATATTAGCGCGCCGCGTAATCGGTCGGGCAGCAACCCCGTGCAATCCATGTTACCAATAGGTATGCCAATGAAAGATGAATAATCAGAGATATAAGGATAGAAGCAAGGCTGTACCCCGTAATCGGTCCAGCAGATACCCCCTTGCCTCGTCATGGAAACGATAGAGAGCCCCGTAATCGGTCCGGCAGCACCCTATACAATCTATGATCATTATACCCCTTAGAAGAAAATACCTGCCCTCTCAGTCTTCTTTACCCTATACCATTGTTGTCGGCGTCGCGGCGGGCTGAAGGCGGCAGAGAAAGGAACAGGTGATGTCGGCCTACCTTGGCTGGTGGCTGGTCTGATCGGAGCTGGTGTCGGAAACGGAATCTGAAACAGAATGCCCGATGCCCGTTCTCTTGCAGCGCGACGATATTTATAACCGAAAACCCTGGTCTCGGCTTCAATGGTTGCGCGCAGCAGTGTGGGTAACATAGCGGGTTGCAACTTCTCTCAGAATCTACTTCCACCCAGTCTCATAAAATCCGGGTGGTTGAGCTTGCGCTAATTCTCAACTAATTGAGTAACCGGAATGCACGGAATATTTAGTAACTTCGTTACACATTGTATTTGAGTTTTAGACTTTCATTTGAATATTGTTTTTCTCCAAATTTGACAATTTTAAGCAAAAGACAAACTAAAAATATCCTCTAAGCACTTCAGACAAATAAATGTGAATAACGTTGTTTTCTTAGCTCCTAATTCCTCCCCTGTCTGTTAATCTCTTAACCTTTTTGTCCCTTATTGTTCCCTATAGACTATTTTGCATGATAATAAATTTAAACTTAGATAAAGAATATATGCTACTATTGGAAAGAACGGCAAGAACATCATTTGACGACGTGTTGTTACAATCGCTGAGGACAAGAGAAGACCTCGAGAGTATTTTAAAGTCGAACGATTCGTTCCCAGGTAAAATGTATTTCATTTTGCACAAAATGATCCAAACCTTTGCAAATTTAATTTATCAATTCCTTTTCCTTATTCCTCAAAAATTGGCAAATGTTTGGTCATTTTTTTTTTTCAAATATAAAATTCTTACAATAAAACAATACAAATTCCACAAAAGAAAAACCTTCACTGGACAGGTACAAATACAGTAATTTTTGTGATTTTTTTCTTAAACCTAACGGTTGTATTTTTTGTGCATGTACTAACATGCAATTTTTGTTACAATAATTACTCAATAATAAGCTTTTTTTCAGTCACCGTTTACCTGGGTATCACATAAATTTATTAGAAAATTTTAGCACTCTGTATAACTCATTGTAATTTAAAGTCTGTTTTTTTTTAAAGATAATTCCCCAAGTCAAAAATTTAGTAACTATGTTGGCAACACAAGCCTTTTCTACATAAAAAATTTGAAAGCATTGACAATTTTACATTGTATTGCCAACATAATGTCATTTTGACTTTTATCTTTAAAAAAAAAACAGATTTTACACACAATTTTTTGTTTCGAAGTGTACTTTTAGATCAAAATGCAGTATCTCCTTATTATCATTCCACCTAACACATCCCAAAAACCACCAGTTTTAACTAACAATTTCATCAATATTTAAAATAATATAGGTAAGCTGTGTAGTAAGTATTGTACCTACATATTGTCATTGTAGATTTTAATTAAGTTTATCCTGTACGTTAATACTCAATTAAGGCTATACATTTTCGCGTTTGATTCAAATGTTTGTTACCGTATACTTGTGGGCTTATTGAAATAGAATCAAAAAATCAACCTTCATAAACGAAATCAGTATTCACACACACTTGTATATTCAAATCTCGAACATATACCATTTTCTTTTAAAAGGGCTTGACCAACAAACAGTAAAACCATTGCTAATGTATATCTTCCAAATTTTTTTTTTCTAGAACATGGAATTCATCATCCACCCACCACAAGACCATGGGAAGCTCCAGATACGCCAGACACATGCGAAATTTTCATCAACAAAAACGGAGTTTACAACGTGTATCGGGACAAAGAAGCTGTTAAAGCAGGAAAAGCCAACGACTATGCTTATCCCGACGTTATCCAGTTTACCGATGACTTTTACAATATGTGTAATATGATTGCCGATGGCCCATTGTAAGATTTTGATAACAAAACTACATAGTTTGTTTTATCTAAGTATATATTTTTTTTAAATCTAGAAAGTCATTTTGTTATCGTCGCCTGAGCTATCTATCTTCAAAATTCCAATTGCACGTGCTGCTCAATGAACTCCGCGAGTTGGCTTCGCAAAAAGCAGTGCCCCACAGAGATTTCTACAACATAAGAAAGGTGGACACCCATATTCATGCCGCCTCGTGTATGAACCAGAAACATCTGCTGCGATTCATCAAGAAAACATTGAAAACCAACGCCCACGAAGTGGTGACGGTCACCAATGGCAAGCAGATGACTTTAAGAGAAGTGTTCCAGGTCGGTATTGCGGATGATAATGAAGATGAAGTGGTAGATCTCGTAAGTTGGTGGTGGAGTCTGGTGGTGTGCCTAGAACTACTTATAATACCGTTGAGGTATTAGTCTATTTAGACCACAAAGACTCTGGCTTGCATTTAGAATCATTTTAATTTTTCAACTGCTATGAATGCTTCAATAGTGTTGCTTAGTTTTCCTCCACCAAACTGGTCTCCACAGAGCATATTGTTACATCAATACATTTAACAATACACAAATATATACAAATAGAGTGTCTCTAAAAGAAAGATTTCTAATATCTGCAGGGCATACTGCATATGAATGTGGTAATTTGGTGAAAATATTACAATTTAGTTCGATTCAAATCTAATGTGCCATAACTTCCTAATAGTTGTGCATTTTTGGGCTAATTTTTATTGAACGTAGCATGATATTTGTAAAAGTTGTCTAGATGATAAATTATAAATTTTAAACAATACATTTAAATGATACCCAATATTCCAGCAATATATCGGGTCTTCAAAAACGCTGGGCCCGGGCCCAGGGCCTCCGGCGTTAAGGGGGCCTCATCGCTAAGTCCACGCATAATTTAAAATAAATTTTATTTAGAAAAAAATTATAAGCTGGTAGCGATAGGCAAGTTGAATGTCACAATTTACTTTTTCTAATTTTGACATTTAAAGTGACACTTTTCAAAACTCGTTGACGTTATCAAATGTCTTACTTTTCATCACCAGTTGCGAAAAGTAAAATTTTTCGCAACTGGTGATGAAATAGTTATTTATGATATAAGTGCTAAAAGTGACATTTTATTTTGTGAAAAGGGAAGTTTGGGACACGACGCCAAAGGCGGAGTGTTCCATCCCTTTGAACAAAATAAAATCACTTTTAGCACGAATATCATACACTATTTTTTCTACAAACGCACTAAAAGTGATTACTTTTAGCACTAGTGCTAAAAGTGTCATAAAATGGCATTTTAGACACTGACAGCATCCGTTAAAAATGACACTTTTAGTGACGTTTGCAGAAAAAGTTAATTTGACCATTAGTTGCGAAAAATACAGAAATAAAATTTGTGATAATTTCAACGCTAAACTACTTGAAGTATTGTTATTATATGCTCTCTAGGTATGAGCGAATTCTTTTATTCAACGATGGACCCATCCTGCTGCCAGCATTATGAGACAGCCATTCCGATTTTCTATGAACTAGACAAACATAGACCGGTCATTGATGGATCCATTGCTGAATAAAAGAATGCGCACTATGCACTATATATGAAAATTTAATTTGTTCACACCATGAACAACATTTAACACAGGGCCAAATCATATTTGCTCTGAAATAATGAATTCAAATTTAAGTTCTGATCATAAAGTAGGTAGTTAAAGTACTGAAAAGCTTAACAAAAATACGTTGGTCTGCAGGTAAAGATGCAGTTACAGCTCTAAATTGTGGATACAAAAAAATCCAAATGAGCCTTGATACCTTTATGAATCAAAAGCCAGAGAAAAATCTGTTTTAAAGGAGTACCGCTATACTGCACCGTTGAAAAGAGAATTCGATTACCTTTAAAATGAGGTATTGCTTGAGCCCTACTGCCATTTAAGATTTAAGGGTTGGAGCTTACCCCCGCGAGAGGGATGAAGTGACAACATTGAAAATATGTGCAAAATATTTCCCCCTCCGAATAAAAATCGACGGGTCCGAGCGATTTTTTTCAATGAACGATGAATACGAGATATCGACCTTGTTTCGTTTCCGCTGGCCCACCCTGTATAAAAACCCGACGTTTCTCGCCGTCTCGATATATTTTACGGTAATCTGTGATTTCGAGCAGGACTTCTTTCTGGCGCCGTACTTACTTTGAAATTCTGTGACAAAATTGAGATGTTATGTAAGAATTGATATTTTGGTAGCATGAATAATTCTGTCACATCTTTAAATTTCGTGCTAAATTATGCTGAAAAGTAAATTTGATCTGAAGTAGTAAATAACAGTTTTCTGATCCGGAGGCAATCTGAACGAAATCTTCTTTCTTCTCTGCTTGGAATGGTTATTGGAAGGTAATATTAGAGACTCAAAATTAATACAACTTACCACTTTTCTTCTGACGCTGCAAACACCTCCTTTAACCGCACAAACTGGCACGTAAGATCTTTCTATGCCACTACCAGTGTTTCAAGGCGAATTTCAAAACCAGAAAAGGAAAGACGTCATTGGGAAAGACTAATTTTAAAAGATTAAAGTTAATTTATTTATGAGTAAAAAGAAAAGTTAGCGTTGATTATTTAAAGATAAAAAAAAGGTGAGGTAAAATATTTAAAAAAAAATTAAAATTACCTTATTTAATTAATGGACCATAAACAATTTAAACTAAAGGAAAATGAAAGAAAATAGAGTATTTTCCCAATTAAAATATTTGGTGCCAAATCTGACACTTTAATGGAATTGAAATTAAAAATAAACTATCACCTCTTTGGAGAGCTTTCACTAAAACACCGGACGGCAGATGAACTAGAGGATGAGAAACGGATCGAGAACTCGTTGAGATGATATCTGAAGTTAACTGGCTTCAACATCTGCTTAAATAAGCGAAAGGAACCACCCTCTGGGTACTACTTTTGAAGCCCATTGGCTACCCCTTAGTACCAGGCTTGCGAGAATCGACAAAGTCGAAGATCTTCAACCCTCCTATAGCTTTCAGCGATTCGCTGAAAGTACCCTCCGGTTTCTTGTTATTTTCCCATTGGTTCTCAAGTTTATTCAACCTTCCCTATTCAAACTGCTCACTTCTCCACCCTGTGATCCAGTTTGATGGCTCTCCAACAGAGTTCGCTAGTTACATGTGGTCAAATTATCAATTGAACATTTAATGTTTTCCCTTTTAATTAAAAATCTTCCCCTTTTCTAATTACCTATGCTTTCTATTCATATTTCGTAATTTCTAACCTAGTCGAGTGAATAAAATAAAAGTTCCCTAATTTCTAACCTAAGCCTCTATTATTTTAATAATAAAATAATTGAGTAATCACTCCTATCTTAACCTACCTATATCTTAATTATAACTAAGCATTTGACTATCTTACAGTTAACATTTCACCAAAGTAATACCCTTGATAATTATATATTGTTATACAATTTGTTATTATATCTTAAAAATCTAGCTTATCGCATGTAATCAGCGTTTCGCTCCACACACACATGCTTCGAATATAATTCTTTCCAGCAACGGTATCAGTTACCTGACATCTAGGTTCGTCATAAAACGTAGGTATTCAGAAGATTATCCTTGACTTTGAATAAATTATTACAACCACATGGGATCTAGATTAGTCTAAAGTTTAGTGTTTATCTAGGTCTGTCTAGGACCTAGGAAAACATAAATTTTGCCTTTATGTTTGTCAATTTCGGGTTAAGCAAAATAATCTTGAAGCTATAAAATTCGATACTTTTTTCTGGCTTTCAAGTAATTTTCACCAGATTAGGTCGTTCGCAGAACTCGATGTGTTTGTAAATCCCATTAGGGTCACATTTTAACTATTTTTAAAAATAAAAATTTTCCCACAAAAATGAACTTGGACCGAGATTATGAATTTGCTATTTATCTGTTACAATTCTGCTTTTCACTGACTGGTCACTATTTCTGCTTTATTGACTCTGATTCTAAACCGACTCTGCCTATTTACAACTGATTAACTTTAACTGACTTTCACGACTGACCGTTAATTCATGACTGACTGACTTTGAATGACACTTTTTCGGACTTTCGCCTGAACCAACACTGTTCAACTGACTCTCTTCTCTTCTGGACCGACACTGGTCTTCGTATATCAATTCCGGCTTAATATCAAACTGTCCCCCTTTATCCTATGTTCTCTGATTGACTCTGACATATATTGTCCCCCAATTTATCATAATTCATCTGTGTCGGTTTCCTTTGTGTGATGTTGGCGGTACGCTTTTGATCGTGTTTAATGTCGAGTCGGTGAATTGCGACACGTACGTTAGTTATGGCTTTTCTAGGAATGTATGTTGGAATGTTGCATCATTTTGTAGCAGGTGCACGGTCCCTTGAACTTTAGAGCCGCAATCCAATCTGCTTGAGTAGTTTTTGGGTTAACGCCTTCTTAATAGAGAGGAGTCCCCGGGATTCCGTGTCTCTCAGTAATTTCTGGCTTTTGTTGGTCGGATAGATTTATATGTAGTTTGACTCGCTGGGCTGGCGGGTTTCTCAAAGGATGTTGGTTTTTGTACGTTGGGGTACTCTTGATTTATTTGGAGGAATTTGTTCAGAAGTGTAGGTTTTCTGATTTTTTTCAAATAGCTTTTGACTTCTGATTATGTCACTACACATGTTATAAAACGGTTGTAAACAATTTTGGTTATATATTGCCCTGTCCTACTCCTCGTTTGATATCTAATTTTTGTGTGGTTTTATATATTTTCACGGTGGTTGCATTTTTTGTAGATATTGTAAATGATGTTGGTATATCGATAGTCTATCGTCTATCCTACATTTTTTCAACGCCCTTAAAATTGCGCTCATTTCGACCGTATCAAAGGCTTTTTGGAAATCTACAAATATCATTACTAGTGCGGTCTATTGTATTCAATGGTGAAATATTGCAAATAATCATTTGTCCCATATCCAGAGCGGAAGCCAGCCTGGTCTCTTGTTTGATAAAAATCGAGCTTAGCTTCTATTCTTGATGTGTACAGTTTATAGATGTGATTCAGGAGACTAAAAAAGATCTATAAAAAATTTTAAGCTGCGTTATGTCCTTTTTTTGTGCAGGAGGATAGTAATCGCATTGTTTCATTTAGACGGGATCTCTTGGTTGTGTAGACATAGGTTAAATAGCTTTTGTATCTTTTCTATTAACACAGATCTTCCCATTTTTATAGCTTCTGCCACTACTTTGTCTTCCACAGGTGCTTTGTTATTTTTCATTTTCTTCAGGGCATTGGAAATTTTCTCTTTTGTGATATCGGGA